AAAGTATCCCACAAAGGTGAAAATGTTCAGAGAAACAGGTCACAATTTTAAATATGTTGAAGTTTAAATTGTATAACTAGACCAAAATTTAAACATTTTTTGAAACAATAGTTGATTAACTCAATAGAAACAATTCCTAGCTTGGGAATTAAGATTGTAACGTTTCAGTTGCTAGTCCAGATCTTCAACTGTGGTTTCATCTAGTCAGAGGATATCAAACATGTTTGATATTTTGAGCCGATTTTAGAACACGTTGTGTTTTATTTATCATCCATCTCCTAACTGCACAACATGCTTCTGTGTCTGTTTGTTGTGTTTGGAATGATGTGCAAGTCTGGTACTTTGTGATCCTCAATCATATTGTGTAAGATAGCTAGTTATAATCTGTAACCGTTTACAAAGTCGACAAGTAGCCTATGTATTGCCTAGTGTTTAAAAATCTGTTTAGATATACTGAATTCCAGTCTTAACCATTGTTAACCTGGCACCCTGTACTGTTTAATACAGTATTGTGTTTGCAGGGCAGTGTGAATGATCAAAGACGCAATCTGAGGGAATCGTCGACACGTCGCCGACGCCCGCAAAATATTTGGCATGATAAATATCTGGAGCTGTCGGCGATTCACAATCACACTGTGTGCAATGAGTTCTGACTAAAAACACATCGGCGATGACCTACAGCCAATGCGAGACCAATATACAGGGCAGAGGGAAGTTCGGGGAGGAGTTATAGGCCAGAATATCAGTATTTTAATAGATATATGAACAATTATAGCATACAGAAACAAGCACAAACATTTGCTTGACCAGCCACAACATCAGCATAACAGTTACTGCAAAATTATTTACCTCCAACTCTCTTTGCAGAACACCCAATCCCTGTTCCCTGCAGCTCCCTCCTGCATAATCTGCTTTTCTTTTTCTCCTTGTAGCTGGAAATCAGCTCACAGACAATTTGCGGGCTATATATAGATTTTTTTTTGTAATAATTACAGTCTTGCTCGCGAGAACTCTTGTCTGATGCACGCGGGGTCTCGCATTATTTCCTTATCACTTCTCGCATGTGTTTTGTTGTGAAACATAGTTTGTGGATCAGACAGAGCTGTCGGCGATTCTTCCTATTGTAAAGTCATGCAGTGTGTAACATCCTGTCACCGATCCATCGTGCAATGTGAACACAGCAGCAACTGAATGCTACCCCAGATAGTCGTGCAGTGTGAAAACCACGGCAATCCGACGACTTTACAAATCGTGCAGCGTGAACTCGGCATTATTCTCACTTATGTGCTTTGCTGCTGATTAACATGGTATAATTTCAGTTCTGTTGCCTTTATATAAAAATAAATAAGATGAACAAGACACTCAAAGTGCTTGTTATTTAATTCCATACAAAAGGCGTATTTATCATAAATTTTTACTTTAATACAAACATGTATTTTAGATTTTTATAGAAATATGACAACAATCACATATCTCACACAGAGATCGCACTGTCATAGTGTTAGGGAACATTCATGCATAATTTAAATACATAATCACATGAAACCAGATAAAGAAATAAAACATTTTAGAAGAGAACGCAGCATCACGGTTGTCTGAACCAATGAGCATTAAGCTGTGTCGTCAGTCAGTCATTTCCCATCATGCTTTTGATCAGCGCAGCCGGTGGAGAGCAACTGCGCTCGACTGCACAATCCGACACAGCCACCTCGCCGTCGCGAGAGCTTTTTTTGGTGAGCTTTTTTTTTTTTTTTTAATTACTAAAAATTAATTGTAGTTGATCAGGAGTTTTCTTCCTGATTCATCTTTCTCTGCAGCAGTCAGTAGATGCAGTTCTTCAGATCTGAGGTGATACCAGGCGACTTCATATCGGCTTCTCATGCTGCAGTTCAGACTGATGCTCTCTCCCATCTGAACCCTTAACAGATCAGAAGATCCTCGCACTGACGCTTCTGGATAAATGTTTATTTATATAAAACATAATTTTATACTGTTAATAGCTATTGTATTTTAGGTTGATTTGTTAATTTCTTAATGTTTGAAATAGAATATATTTAATACTGGCCGTGATTTGCATAATCCAACAAGAAAATACACAGAAGAAAATGATTTTCTCCATTGTGTCTGTTGTTCATAAAGGTGTTAATCAAACTAAAGGTTCCAGCACAATGCAGAGACTCTAAACCACAAAACGTTCCATTTCCTTTCCAGACAGAAATAGTCTCTGTATCAGATCCACTATTTGATTCATCAAACTTCTGTGTGCTGTAATCTTCATGATTTCACTGAATGTGCTCTCTTAGCTTGCATAGACACTTGGCTAAGTGTCTGTGTAGATTTGTAAGTCCATGGATAAATATTGAATAATCATTTTGACCATTTTTTTTGTTGCAAAAATTCACAATGTCTAATTTAAAACAATGTCATGTTTATAAGAGTGTATATAATTTTACACAGACAGCAGTTCTACCATATCAGTCATGTAATGTTTAAGTGTTATGGTTGCAGAATGGTGCATAGGTTATTTTTTGTTGCTTTATGAAGGAGGAAGTAATTGTTTTAGGTAATGTGAGGCAGGAAGCTTACCCTGCAATTTTGAAAAAGTCACAGTCGCTTTGTCTTTTTACACTTTCAGTGATCAAAGGAAAGAGTCACAAAACTTTAAAAAAGGGTCATGAACTGCCTGTTTTTTTTCATTTTGTACTGTTCTCGGAGGTGCACTTATAATGTTAACAAGATTTTTACTTCAAAAAACATCATCATTTATAAGTAATACGCTATTTTCTGTCCTGTTTTTGACCCCCCTCATCAGAATGCTGTGTTTGAATAGGCGTGGTGGATTGTAGACTCGGAAGTAAACACCTGCTGCTATGATTGTCTTGTGCATAGTTGACATTCTACAAAGCAAACAAAGTCATTTATTAAGACAATGTTTAAATATGCAGACAGAATGGAATGGCATAGGAAATCTTAATTTTCCTCTTTATACCCTGAACAAATCAATGTTAAACATGAGTGGAATACAACTTAAAGCAAAGTAAGAGATAGCAAACCTAAAACTGTCCCAATGGTAAGCATGTTGATGAATCTCTTGGGAGCAGATACTGTAATTAGGAATAATGTTATCTCATGTTGAATTCACTGTATACTGTACTTTCAAAGTGATTGCTATTGTACTGCACAGCTGTATATTCACTCCCACAACAATCCCAAAATAAACAACATTTCACAAATAACTGAGTTAAAGTTTAAAAAATGTAATAAAACAACACTACCATGTATCAAAATACATAATGAAAAATAGTTTAAAAATGAATGCATAAAAAATGGGTATAAAATGTATGAAAACATTTTTAATACATATTGTTTAAAAAATGTAATAAGCTTCACACACCTTAGTGATGCTATAGTAAGCAGTCAAAGGCAACAGTGTCAAGGAAAGAAATCTCTAGAGATGTTTGATATGGGCGAAAAACATGTTTTGGCTGGAACACAGACTCAGCTTTGGATGTGCTCTTTCTGGTGTTGACACATATTTAAACACATTTGTACAAAACATAAATATTGACTGGAATAAAGTCAAGGCTAGTGCAAATCAATACAGTGTGGTTCTCTGTGTTCACAGTATATGTTTCTATCAAGGGTAAGTAATATTTATTTCTATAGCACCTTTCAAGGGCAAGTGTCACAAATTGCTTTAGAAAAAGCAAGTTTGAACAAGTGAGTTTTCAGCTGCTTTTTAAAAATGTCTACAGAGTCCACAGATCTCAGTTTCAGAGGAAGAGCATTCCACAACTTGGGAGCAGCTACTTCAAAGGCACAGTCTCCTTTTGTCTTCAATCTAGAGCGTGGAACAACTAGCAGGATCTCAGATTGCTACTAAAGTTATAGGGTTGCAACATCTCTGTTATATACACAGGGGCTTGACCATGCAACGCTCTAAACACCACCGCAATCATCATTCTAAATTTGACAGGGAGCCAATGTAAAGAAATTAAAATTGGGGTTACGTGTGATCTCTTTGATGACTTGGTTAAAAGCTTAGCAGCAGCACTGTGCAAACCACTTGTAAACGTTTGAGGGATGAATTACTAAGACAGGGTCACCAGAGCTGCACGCTAACTTTTTTTTGCACATATCACTGGTGCTACAGAGACTGAAAGTTTTGTAGCACAAGCTTGTGGCCTTGATTTGTAGCACATGAGTGCAGTTCATCAGTTAAACATGTATGTGACTGGCAAAGGACATTGATGTTGCAAACAGTTTGAAAAAGTTTGCTTGTCAAAAAATAAATCAAACTTGTGTGACTTGTATAACTATTTGAGGGCATGTGAACTAATTACATTTACAGTATGCTGCACTTACACAATCATAAATAATGCTAGGAGAGGAATGTTTGAATTTTTGAATATATACATTTGAAATGATTATTTAAAAAAACATTGAAATTAAAGTGACCAATAGGTGGAGACATTTAAACAGCTTATTCGGTCAGGAATGATACGCTGACAGCATCCTCTGCAGATCTGTTGGCACTAAAGGTAGATTGCACATAACCGTTGCTGTTGTCAGGTAATGTGGGCCCCTGTACAGTTTGTTCCACTGAGACGCATTGGTAGGAATTACATCCCTCGTTCCGGTTCTGATGCTGGTGTGTCCTGATGACAGCAAATGCAATCAGACCCAGAGCCCCCAAAACCCCCAGAACAATCACAATCCAAACCCAAGCGGCTGGAAAGGGAAAGTGGGAAGACATCACAATTAAAAAAAAATAATAATTTCTTTTGAAAACTTACTGCTTAAAGATTTTGAAAAGCTCTCAATGCTCTTGTTTTACTTACGAGGTTGTTCAGTGCCATTAGGTTGTTCATCATCTGTGTCCAGTTTGTCCTTTGATTCTGTACCTGATAATGCACCTATTGAAAGGTCATTCACACTGTTTAGCATCAATTTGCTTTTCAAATCATGTGCACTTTATAAATACTATTTCTAAACATCCACTGAGCTTCTCTCACCTGTGACTGTCACTGTGATCAAGATTTCTCCTTCAGAGTCCAGAACTCTGTATGTTCCTGCATCATTGGCTGTAAACTCTTTAATGCTCAGAGTCCCATCAGTGTCGTTCAGTCGATCACTCCAGACCCCACGACCTCTCTTCCACACCTCCCTCAACTCTCCACTGGAGTTTTTCTCCACTTTATCAGCATTTGGCAGCAGAACATCCAACTTCAGTTCCTCGCCTATTTTCACAGAAACCTCATCTGAGGAGACACAAAGACATTAATTCTTATTATAATGGTGCCATTTAATCAATGCTATAAGCGCATATTTAGGATTGAGAGACCAGATGTAATAATTAAAAAAAAAAACTGCCATATTGAAAATGCCAGTAATCTAAATACTAGTTCTATTATTTTCTCACTTTATTCAACCACATAATCAAATTTTCACACAATTGGTAATGTAATGTAACACTTTATTTTCCAGTTTACTGACTGACAGCTCTATTGTCCCCATGTTGAGAAGAATAAGAGAGTGAAGTGCAGACAGAGTTTTTTCCTTCTGAGGTTATTAATTTCACTTTTGTTGTGAAAGAGCCTTTAATAGATCTTTTTTCTTTCTTTTTTTGCTTATTATAAAAACAAATAAGCAAGCCCAGCCTACGGTTGTCAAAAAGTAACACAAAAGTAATGCATCGCTTTCCATATAAAGTAAACTATTTATTTAACTTTTTATCGAGTAATGCTATATTGTAATGCATTACTTTTAAAAGTAACTTTCCCTAACACTGCCGGGCAATGATGACAAGTACAAAGTTTCCTGATGCATGCCATTTTACTCATTCAGGCAGATAAAAGCTGTCAGGGTTACGATGTACACACTTCTTCCGAACTACACTACCCATAATGCACTACATAGACCTACCCATTTCCTCCGGAGTGATAGTGTAAAAGGAAGGGGATTTCCATAATCAATCCAATGTCAACCAAAGTCAAACAATCGACTAGAATAACTCTACCCAACAATCAAAACAGTAACAATTTATTCATAATAATAATAATAATAAAGATGCGGACCGCTATAACTGACAAGGCAAAACAGCAGCAGTAGATTGAAGCATCTGAACCTGAAGAGAATACAGACAGCTGTTATGTGACAGATACAGACACGCTTCACAAAGAGGTTTATACAGCTATAAAATAGGGAAAAGTTGTTATTTAACTGATCGCAATACGGCCCACTACAAACTAACAATTTCAATGTTATGAACACTTACATTGTGAAGCTCCTGCATGTTCTGGAATCAATTCTTTAAAACTGAAAGTGAGACCGACACGTGCCTCACGTAAGATAGGGGAGTGACTGGTTATTACTGTCCACTATATATTAATTCAAAGCAGATTGAGCTCTCTAACTAATGTTATAGTTGTTGTAACGAATTTAGCTCACAACAGGAAATATTCCAAAACCACTACTGTATGAGATTGCGTGTATATTCCAGCTGATTATTCTTACTTTTGTCAGCGTTCAGAAATGTTCATCTTGTAAGTCAGTTTTGTGTATTGTTGGTCTTTCTGAACTCACAAATAACCCTCATTCATGGCAATACAAAGCTAGTGCGCATGTGTCAGAGCAGTTATAGTGAATTCCTGAACATCCCTGACCAAACAATGTTTAATAATAGACGGACTGCACAGATAGCTCAGTGCTGTCATGGTGTGATAATGCTGAGGAAATTCTTCCATCAATCCACAAGAATCCAGTAAAATGACTAACTGTGTGACGCAACAGAGAAACAATTGACTAGAATAACTCTGAGTGAATGAAATGAAATGAAATGTTAAAATAATAGTAATAAACAAATTATACTGACCACAATGATTTGCAAAGCACAGCAGCAGAAGAAGATGTAACCAGTTTAACCTGATGAGAAACTAGAATCTGAATATTTGGTTTAATCAATTATTTCAGTGTAGTAGCCTACTCACAATGATCCATCAAACTCAACTGACACAAATAAAACATTTATGAAATTATTTTTCCTGCAAAAAAAAACAAAAAACCGTCTACTCGTTATATTAATAACAGCACTAATTAAAATCATAATCACCGTTATTATCATAATCAGCTTTCATCGAAAACATGTTCACTTCCGCATCTCTCACAGTTCAACATAAACACACCACTAGTTTAATAAAAACACTGAGGCTGGGTTAATATTTTACATCATGAACACTCACATGGTCAAACTTCTGCGTGGGTCTTTTGTTCTGGAGTTAAAAGTTTGTAAACCACTGCACATTTTGCGAAATTGAAGTAAAACTTCGTGTAAACTATAAAGTTGCTGCATATGATATGATGAAATATCACTATTCCAGCCCCCTTTTTTTTTTAGGTTGTCAATCAAATTGGTAAATGTTTTTTTTCTCCTTGTAGCCTTTATATTAATAACAGCACTAATTAAAATCATAATCACCGTTATTATCATAATCAGCTTTCATCGAAAACATGTTCACTTCCGCATCTCTCACAGTTCAACATAAACACACCACTAGTTTAATAAAAACACTGTGATGGGGTTAATAATAATCAAAGCCAGAACCAGCAGAACTATAGTCAATCCAACAATCATAATCCAAAACCCAACAGCTAGAAGGGGAAGGAGGGAAGAGAACACATTTTAATGTTCGTTTTTTCTTTTTAAACCGGACTGTTTAAAGCTTTAATACAGACAGCTGTTATGAGACAGATACAGACACACATCACACAGAGTTTAATACAGCGATAAAATACTTCTCTGAGTGATAAGATACTACATAACTGACCACAGTCAAAACCTTCAGTTTCAATTTTATTTAGGGGTTTATCACATGTGGGTTTATAAGAAACATCAAACTATAATCTGAATCTTTGGTTTTATGTATTTTATAGATGTTCAGTGTAATCATCCAACTCAACATGATCCGTCAAACCCAAGTGTTTAATGGACACAAACAGTCAGAGAAATTCAGAAACCTGCTACCAAGAAATCATTTGATTACAATGAGTAAACAGTGGAGAACAACTGAATAATTACATTAATAATTCCACCACCGATAAAACCATCAACATCATCTTTGTTCATCAGCATAATGATAAACATGTTAGCATCATTAGCAGGTTAGCAGGGAAACCTTTTCCTCAAACAAACAACACTACTGCTACAATAACACAAAACACACACAGCTTTAGTTAAGAGAATAAAAACTTACATTGTAAAAGTTCTGCATTAGTTTTACATTCTGGTTGTCTGAATTTCATAAACCACTGCAGGTTTAGCGAGAATTAAGTAAAAACAAAACCGAAAGTATCATTCCCACAGTTGAGAGCTTTCAGTTTTTCAGAGGTAAAATGGTTGGAGTCTCAAGGATGATTATGATTGGTCTTTATTGTCCTCTGCTGGTTATTCTATCAAAGCAGCTTGAGCTGTGAGAAGATGTGTGGTCTATTAGCTTGCACAGACCATATGACTGATAAAACCTTGAATAAAACAGTGTGTGCAGATTTGTGAGTCCAGACACAGTCCAGAGACAGCCAGGTAATAAGAGCTAATAATAAGAGGGCAAAGTCCATCAAACATTGTGGATCAAATTGAGTATCAAATACGATTGAATGTCATGCTTAGAGCAGCTGAAGTTCATTTTGAACAAGATCCCTGATGATTTGTGTAAAGTTCGAGCAGCAGATTTCAGCTCTGATTGTGTCTGAATCTGATGCAGCTTCACAAAGAGACTCTTTGAACGTAAATGTTTCTGCAGATGTAAACTATTTAAACATTCTCTTCATGTTTGAGACCAGAATCATGAAAATGCATATAAATAGCTTAAATAGGACTTTGGCGTGTATATAATACGCAGTTTACGCGTACATATGATATGCATCTACCCCACAACCCTAATCTTACCCATTGCGTAGCATATACACGCCAAAGTCCATTTTTGCGTATCAATACCACAAGTTTTTGTTTTTATTTGGCGTACTATTTATATTTTCATGAGATTGGGTTGCATGTTTCATTATAATATTATCAATAAAGAATTATTTTTCTGAACATAGGAAATTTTATATATATAAAATATATATAGTTATATATAATATATAAAATCAATAAAACAATAAAAAAAAATGTGTCTTGTAGTTTTTCACAACATGTTTCAAAGCAGATTTACAAAGAATAATGCAAATGCACTATTAAACAAACAAAAGCAACATATACACATTATTTATCTTATGACTACAATTTTTTTTTTTTCAGGAACAACCATTAATGGATTCAGTGGAAACAATAATTCTTAGCTAATCAGTTAGGATTGGTCATCTTTAATTACCAGCCCACTTTACATAAATACTAAATGAAGATATACAGTATACAGTTCAGTCAGGACCTTTTTAGTCAAAAAGAACACCATAGACAACCCTTTTAGGTTTTATTGGCATGTTTTCTAAAGTTACATTTGGCGGCATGGCTCTGTTCCAAGTTCCCTGTTCTTTTCATGAGCTCCATGAAAGCCAAGACGGGGAAGCAGCAGCAGCTTCAGGGGCAACCCTCCTATCTTAAGAACAGGAGAGCAGCACAAAACAATCCCCAGAACAGAGCATGCAACAATGACAACAGAATGACATTAAGTTAAACAGAAGTTAGAGGAGGAGATGGGGAAGAGGTGGGTTGCAAGCAGCGTACAGAGGAAGCAGCAAAGCAAGCAGACAGAAGCTGTGTTTAAGTAAGCCGCCCTGTTTGAGATTTGCCAATTGAGTGCTTAGGAGTCGGATCAGCTGATAGGGGCCGGGTTTGAATTGTCCCAATCTGCTGATAGCAAAGCTTGACTACGAGGCCAGCCTGAACTAACGCAGAATGCTTGATTTAACAAACAGAGGTAGGGGTCCAGCCCAAAACTGAAAATTAAAAATATATTGCAGAAATATGTTGAATCTTCTGCAGATCTGTTGGCTCTGAAGGCAACTTTACAAGTAACATGATTTTTGTAAAGATTTTACTCCCCGAAGTTGAAGTTATTTGCCTTCAGTCAGTGCTATGGTGCTATACTTTGGTCAGTCGTTTAGAGCTGACAGATTTTTTTTTTGTTTTAGAGTTTTGATTCCATCCAGTCTGAGGGTATCACGTGTGTGATATTTAGAGCCAGTTCTTGAACACATATTGTTTATAACGGTTTATAAAGTTGTTAAATATGTGTTGTTTATAGTGTTAAAAATATGTTCAAGTCGTGTGGTGAATTCCAGCCTTAAGCAGTGACGTCACGAGGTGTCCTGCACACCTGTACAGTTTAATCAGGCTCCGCCGGGCCCTCCAGTTATCATTACGGGCCCTCAGTGCTTCTGGGTCTCTTTCTTTTCTTCCTCGAGTGACACCCAGCAGGTAACCTCTGTGCAGACACTTCTGTAACGTGACAGCAGTCAGAATCAGAGCCAGCAGAACCATCAAAACCACAGTCAGTCCAATCCAGTAGCCTACAGCTGGAAGGGAAAAGTAGGGAGAGAGTACTTATTTTATTAAAAAAAATGTATTTAAATTTTTACATTCACTGTTTAAGATTTGTGTAAAGCTCTCGGTGCCTCCTGTTTTACTCACTACGATATTTAGTGCCATCAGTTTTGTCTTTATCAGTGTCGTGCAGTTTTTGCTTTGTTTCTGTACAGAATATTAAAAAGTTAGTCTCACAGTTTAGTATTAATTAGCTTTTTAAACATAATATTTCTAGGATCTTTACTTACAAGAGGGTACAGGGGATAACTTACAAGAAATTTCCAAAAGAAAAGGATTAAAAAATGTCATACATCCTTTTTACTTTCTTACATATTTTAAGGCCTCAATAAATGTAATGCTTTAGTTTGAATTTAATGTTCGTTTTATTATTAGTATGTTTTAGTTTGTGTACATGGTATTTCACCTTCAAATAAATCACCAATTTTTTCTTAAAAATCCAACAAAAATACATCTTTACCAGAGAGTCGAACATTTAATTTTGTAAATTTAAATATTAGCTATTCAATATCGATTGAATATCTATTTACAACTGGGTAAATACACATTCATAAAATAATTGTTTTATGGATTCACAAAAAAGAATGTATTCACAAATATTAAATCAATGTTCAAATCATAAATAAAAAAATCCTGAAATTGTATCATTTATGTCATGATGGAAAATAGCAATAGATAAATATTCTGATGTTGCTTTATGGTCTTTTTGGGGTTAAATTATGTTTTATGCAGACATATTTTGGGTCACCATGAACAGCAATCTATTGAAAATATCAGCAAAAGTATAAAGGAAACGCCGTTATAACAGCGTCTTTACATCCATTTTGACCGCTCCCAGCACCCATACCGTAATTGTGTGATTAGCAGTCAAAAGAAAAGTGCGGCTGGCTTGATTTTCAGTGATATGAGGCCTCCCACGTCATCCTCCCAACCATCTCCCGCGGAGGCTAAAGGTACTGTTATTTCACCCTTTTTAAGTTTGTTGAAGTTGTGTTCCCACCTCGTTAGCAGGTTTTGATCGCTAAATCTTGAATGACTGACTGTCAACTGTTGAATGAATGAGTGTCACGTCCCGCTTGTTTGCTTCGAACCGAAAGACGCTCCCACTTTTGACACTAGGCCTCATGGGGCGTAGGAAACTTGTGGATAGAGCATGTGGCCTATAGCACTACAGTAAAATCCCAGGACACCCCTAGTCCGCATGTTCACTGCTATTTATTACTCAGCATTGTCTGGCATGAATATTCCATTCATTCATAAAGAGACAGCAGCGATTCTACAGTGGGTTACATTTGAGAGCTATTGCGTTAGAAAATAGAGTAAATGAAGTCGCCTATAAGGTGATTAGTCTGATTAACATGAGTCACACACACACACACACATACTCACTCTCTCTCTCACACACACACACACACACACACACACACACACACAGAAAGAAAAGCTAGTTCATGCTCTTTGCAATTTTTCTCTGAGAAACTCCTTTCTGATATTGCTCCACTATTTTTCGCCGCAGCATTGGGGGAATTGGTGATCCTCTGCCCATCTTGACTTCTGAGAGACACTGCCACTCTGAGAGGCTCTTTTTATACCCAATCATGTCGCCAATTGACCTAATAAGTTGCAAATTGGTCCTCCAGCTGTTCCTTATATGTACATTTAACTTTTCTGGCCTCTTATTGCTACCTGTCCCAACTTGGAATGTGTAGCTCTCATGAAATCCAAAGTTTGTATTTAAACTGAACTGAGCTGGATGATGACATCACTAAATCGAATGATGAACTGTCTTTAACTGAAAATTGAGTGTTTACTATTGTCATTTTGCATTATTGACACACTATTTTCCTAATTAATGCTGTTCAGTTGCTTTGACACAATCTGTATTGTTAAAAGTGCTATATAAATAAAGGTGACTTGACTTGACACACACACACACACACAAATAATCAAATGGAAGAAATCTGTTGTTTCAGGTTTCTAGACTCTAGGTTTATATTTATTATTGTCATATTATACATTTTGCATTCTACTCTTTTTATGTAGATTTCAAGTATTTTAGTTCAGTACAGTAATGCTTTTATTTCAGTCCTCTGCTGAAAAAAAAACAAACAAACAAACAACAACAAAAAAAAACAATAGAAATCACCACATCATTTTTAATGGTTTTACTGGTTATAATGAAAGTTGTATTGTTTTTAATGGAAACTATGTATTTTAATGGAAATTGGTTGCCTTCTATTCATGGCTTTTGTTAAAGTTACTAAATCCTAATGAAATATGTCCCAAGAAAAACACTACAGGAAACCATTATTTAATTAATAATAATCTCTTGTTTTTGTCAGTTCTTTTTTTTTTTTACATTGAGTTACTGTAATAAGAATTGAACAGAAAATACACATACTGTCACAAAAACTGGCAATATTATTATGTAAAATGTGGCACCAGTACAAAAGTCACTTCGGAGGAAAAAGTCAGAAGTTTTCCTCGTCTGATTTCTAATCATGAATTGCATGATTCTGTAAAGCTGCACAAACACGTGTGTGTGATGATCACTGTGGGTGTGTGTCTGTTGATTCTGTTGAATGTGATGTCTGTCTGTAGCGGCTCTTTATTCACCATCAGCGATCAGAGACGGTCAGACTAACATCTTAAAGCTGAAAGTAAAACACAAGCAAATGTGTGTCACATTACTGCATTATCCACTTTACAACAACTAAAACAAACTATTTGCATTATTAGTCAGATTTATAAACTAACCCTGTGACGTACGATTATTAAAGCTCTTTTTGCATTCAGATTCTGATTTTGCATCCAAACCACCATAAATGATGACCCTTGACCCTTATCCATAATTTTGTTCTCTTTCTGTCACAGTTTTATTTATGACAATTATAGTAATTATAAATAGTTACCATCTTTCCATTAAAATTGACATTCTCTCAAAATATTTAATTTCATAATTTCAGATATAAAAAACAATGACTATAAAGTGCGTGCATAATTATTAGGCACGTTGATATTCTGATCATATTTTTTTTCCAAACACATTTGACCAATTCCAAACCACATCAATCTTAATAACTACTATTAATTTGGTATTTAATCATTTATGAGTGATATATAATTGTCCATGAAGGCTGGAAGTGAAAAACTCCTTATATTCAGGTGTGCAGAATTATTAGCAGGTTTTCTTTTACAGATAAAATGAGCCAAAAAAGAGGTTTAACTCAGACTGAAAAGTCAAAAATTATTAAATCCCCATGAGAAATATTCAAAACTAATGCAATACAGAAATTGCAAAGTTAAGGCATGACCATTGGACAGTGAAATGCTCAGTGGGTCAGCGGGGTCAGAAAAAACAGGTGGAGAAGAAAAGACACGTTAACTGCAAAATAATTAAGAATTAATGTGAAGAATTGCGTGTGAAACCATCAGGAAACATTTAGTCTCCAGCGCCAGCATTTTCCAGAACTGCAACTTTCCTAAAATATGACCCTCACTTAATAAGAATCACATGCTGAAATGTTGTGAAATACATGAAGGCTATTTTTATAGGTTTTATGGACAGATAAATTGAGAGTGACTCTTGAAGGAGCATCACATCCTCTTGTGCCACTGTTTGAAGAATTCATCTTCCAGAATCTAGCAGTAAGTTTTAGGAGCTCATTTTTAGTCAATCTCTTTTCCTGAAAAGTCTGTCTTGCAGAATTAACTTCCAATTCAGTTTAGTATCCTAAAAGTACAACAGCAGGGTGCTTTTATTAAGTAAATAAATACGTGAATGAATTTGTACTATACTTAGCATGAAATAAATGTATTTCAAATACAAGTGTATTTATTTTTTACTAGTGAAATACTGTATTATTTATGTATTATTTTTAAATAAAAAAGAAACGTCAAGATACTAAACTATAAACCGAATCAAACTCTTATTAAACATGTTAGTCACAATTACCAAGAAAGTAACCTAAGAAGAAGAAACTATATTAACTTTAATTTAAACAATCAAACATTTTTAATCATCACTACTCACTCTAGCATCTTCAGTTTATAATGTGGATCATCCTTCAGATCAGAGAGCAGCTTCACATCTGACGCTCCTAGTTTATTTCCAGACAGATCCAGATATCTCAGGTGTGAGGGGTTTGATCTCAGCGCTGAAGCCAGAGCAGCACAACCTTCATCTGTGACTCCACAATCCCTCAACCTGTAGAGACAGCTCAGATAAGCAGCAACTTCACGATTAACAGATCCAGTCTAAGGTTCAGACGCACTTCTGATTGAAAGTTAATTTCAGTAGCATAAAAAAAAGTATGTTTTTTTTCTTTACATGAAAACCCTAAAATCTTCAACACATCTGTATGATGTGAAAACATACTGAAACAAGAAAACATATTTCCTACATAGCTGAGTGTGAGCCTTTATCATTTCTGTTCATTTGTCAAGTGTAGGGGCGCAGACGAGCATATCACTTTTCTTGTGAATATTAATAATCCTTCTCCTGTCCTCATATGATGTTTGAAAAATTTATTTTTATGTATATTTCATAATGGGGAAAAAAGATTAATAATTTTAGTTGTTCACCAATACCATATTTGAAAATAAAAAGTATTAAGTACATTAAATCAGTATAATTAAGCTAATAATAATTAATTAATACTTTAAAAGAGAATGTAGCCTTCAAATATTTTTTTATTTAATGTTTAATGTTTTAAAAAGGACAAATTAAACCTCATATAGAACAAATGATACATCTATTAATCAGCATTTACACTCCGAGATCTATTGACATCAGATTTTATTATTATTATTATTATTATTTGTCCCATCCATTGCTATTGTTATCACTGTGGCAATCATCACAATTTCTGATTCAGATTTAAAATATGATTTAAATATGGTTGTCACTCCAGAAAATTTGCAATGTGTAATAAGTAGCAATAAAAACATCTCGGTTACGTATAATAACCCTCGTTTCCTGAAGGAGGCAACGGAGACGTCACGTCGGATGACCGACTAATTGGGATCTCGCTTAGAGAGACCAATCTACTTCGAGTGTAAACTAAACGAGCCAATGCACATTGGCATGTGATTATTGCATCCAGCTGCCGCTGATCACAGCGTGAGTATAAGTAGGCAGCAGATGCAGCGCATATTCAGGTTTTCGCTGAGGAGCCGAGCCGGTGACCCGGCCGCTCAGCGGTGGTACAGGAGCTGTGGCGACGGGACGTGACGTCTCCGTTCCCTCCTTCAGGGAACGAGGGTTACCATACGTAACCGAGACGTTTCCTTTCAGTCAGTCAATCTCGACGTCACGTCGGATGACCGACGAATTGGGATCCCTAACAAAGGGCCACAGGTACTGCCCCTTCCAGTGTCCTGTGGAAGCCACCTGCGCCCCTACTTTTTGGCATAGGCCAGGGCTTACCACAAGAGGACCAGCTACTGCTGCTATGGCACTACCCAATCAGTAGGACTGGATAACACTGGGAAAACTTACCCGTTCCACTTGGGACAGGAACGTTGCGGAAGCTCCATCTTTCCCAAAGGAGGTTTCGGAAGCAATACTCATATTAACACTCGTCTAGGTGTGTGTGGAAGAATGGAGGTGATTGAAACCCTCATGGAATGGCAGAAGTCTGCCGGGGAAACACGGGCACTCAGGCTATACTGTGGACTTTACACATATGGGATCCACTTAGGTCTTACATATGGAACCCAGCCTTCTACCGGTTCTCAAGGATTCAACGAGTGAAGGCCTGGCGCTGGATGCTCTGCCACGTCTGGCTGCCGAAGGGACGGAGGAGCTCAACAGGGTCTACTATATGAACTCTCTGGAGTGGTCTTAGCAAGCCGACCCGAAGCCGGGGCCTCTCAGTGCTTCTACCCATTTGAGGTGAGAACACAGGAGGATACAGGCTCCACACGAAGGCTATAGAATCTAGCGAATGTGTTAGGGGTCGCCCAGTGGACTTTACACATATGGGATCCACTTAGGTCTTACATATGGAACCCAGCCTTCTACCGGTTCTCGAGGATTCAGCGAGTGAAGGCCTGGCGCCGGACGCTCCGCCACGTCTGGCTGCCGAGGGGACGGAGGAACTCAACAGGGTCTGCTGTATGGACTCTCTGGAGTGGTTTTGCAAGCCGACCCGAAGCCAGGGCCTCTCAGTGCTTCTACCCGTTTGAGGTGAGAACACAGGAGGATACCGGCTCCACACGAAGGTTAAGAATCTAGCGAACATGTTAGGGGTCACCCAGCCCACAGCTCTACAGATATCTCCCAGCGAGGCGCCACGAGCCAGCGCCCAGGAGGATGCAACACTTCTAGTTGAGTGAGCTCGCAGCCTGAACGGGCAGGGCACACCCTGTGCCTGATACGGCAGGGTGATGGCGTCCACTATCCAGTGGGCCATCCTCTGCTTAGAGACGGCATTCCCTTCTGCCGGCCTCCGTGACAGACAAAGAGCTGGTCTGAGGTCCTGAAGCTTTGTGTCCGGTCTACGTAGCACCTTAAGGCTCGGACGGGACAGAGCAAAGCTAGGGCTGGGTCTGCCTCCTCTGAGGGCAGCGCTTGCAGGCTCACCACCTGATCCCTGAAGGGAGTAGCGGGAACCTTGGGCACATAGCCGGGCCAGGGCCTCAGGGTTATCTGGGAGTCAGCCGGCCCGAACTATAGGCACGAATTGTCGACCGAAAATGCGTGCAGGTCCCCTACCCTCTTGATGGAGGCAAATGCAAGCAGGAGCAGAGTTTTCATTGACAGAAACTTCAGCTCGACTGCCTGCAAAGGCTCAAATGGGCCCTGCTGTAGTGCTGTAAGCACTAGAGTCAGGTCCCAAGAGGGTATAGAGGGGGGCCATAGAGGATTTACCTTCTCGCCCCCTTAAGGAACCTGATGACCAGGTTATGTTTCCCCAGCGACTTCCCTTCTACGGGGTCGTGGTTAGCAGCGATTGCAGCGACACAGACTTTGAGGGTGGAGGGAGACAGCCTTCGCTCCAACCCTTGCTGCAAAAAGGACAACACGACTCTGATCGGCATCTTCGGGGGTCTTCTTGGTGAGAAGAACACCACTCAATGAACAGGTTCCACTTCAAAACGTAAGCGTGTCTCGTAGACGGTGCTCTCGCTGAAGTGATGGTGTCACTACCTCTTGGGGTAGGTCACTTAGAACTTCCGCGTCCCGTCCAGGGACCAGACATGACGTTTCCAGAGGTCTGGATGCGGGTGCCAAAGGGTGCCCCATCTCTGAGTCAGTAGATCCTTCCTCAGAGGAATCGGCCAAGGAGGGGCTGTCGCGAGGAGCATTAGTTCTGGGAACCAGGTCCGAGTAGACCAATAAGGTGCCACCAACAGGACCTGCTCCTTGTCCTCCCTGACCTTGCACAGTATCTGTGCAAGAAGGCTCACTGGGGGAAACGCATATTTGCGAAGGCCCCGCGGCCAGCTGTTTGCCAGTGAGTCCGTGCCGAGTGTTCCCTCTGTCAGGGAGAAGAACAACTGGCAGTGAGAGGTTTCTGGAGAGGCAAAACAGGTCTACCTGAGCGGCTCCGAAACGTCACCAAACCAGCTGGACCGTCTGGGGATGGAGTCGCCATTCTCCCGGGAGCGCAGCTCGAGACAGCTCGTCTCATCGAGGCTGATGGACCGCAGAAGCCAGCGCGACGTGCTGGGTAGCTCTAGCCAGGCACCCAGATACCGTGCAAGTGGGACCAACGGAACCGATGAGCAGGCTGGGGCACTGCGGCCGGTGGACGGGTGGATGCCTCAGTCTGCTTCTGTACAGCCGAGAGCTGCTGGGCCAGGCTCTCGACCGCATCGCCGAAGAGTGTCTGGGACACAGGGACATTAAGGAACCGAACTTTGTCGGCGTCCCTCATATCGACCAGATACAGACAGTTTTGGCACTTCCATTGGCAGCTCAACTGGCTGCAGAGTGCCTCAGACCGCCCGCGCTACTGCCTGAAGTAGCCCCCGCCTGGCTGCCGCCATGAGGAGAACTAGATCAAGGCAGAGGCAATGGAACTCCGCTCCTTGAGGAAACGGAGCTTGGCCTGCGACTCCGAGATGATCATCTTCCCCCAATGAGACGATGACTCATCCACAAATGCCACCTCAGCGTGCTACATGCCCAGGCACGTGAGGCAGCGATCGTGACCATCACCCAGCTCCAGGTAACGACCGCATCCAGAAACGCCCGGGTGATACGTTGTCTATAATAAGACCCACATCGTCTTTACAAAGACGTAACGTCAAGTTTGCCATGCAACGTCATCTTTAAAAAGACGCACCCGAAATTGCTCTTTTAGGGAAAAAGCTCTTTTAGCGTGCTGAGACGCACAGGGGAGATGATCACCTGCAACACAAACAGGGGGGTAGTGCAGCCTGATGTGTACAACCCACTCGACACGGGAAACCACCACCGCTGAAGCGCCGTACCGCCAACACAAAGAGCTCTCCAAGAGCGCGCTGAACTCATTCAGTCTTCTTCTCTCAGTAGAGTAGTCAGGAGCGCCGAAGCGAAAAGCTGAATATGTGCTGCATCTGCTGCCTACTTATACTCACACTGTGATCAGCGGCAGCTGGATGCAATAATCGCATGCCAATGTGCATTGGCTCGTTTAGTTTACACTCGAAGTAGATTGGTCTCTCTAAGCGAGATCCCAATTCGTCCGTCATCCAACGTGACGTGACCGACTGAAAGGGAACAATAAGAACTTTTACTTAATACCTAAAACTAAAAACCTAAATTAAATATTACTTTATTATGAACTAATGATGTGTTCAGGTATGTACTAATCAAAACTAATCCATCAAAACATTAACTAACAAACATGTACTAAAGGTTCATCTCTGTCTACACTTGGTACATTT